AAATATGACATATATATCAAGATATTTAAAAAAAAAATCCATTTTCAAACCGAATTTTTGGAAAATTTTGGTCCAAGAGTATCAATATATTATGCGTTTCGAATCAGTTCGTCGAAATATCTTCTCTAGATTTTTTTCACGACTTCTATAGTTAGATTTCCAAAAATATCAATTTTTCTTTGTGTATCTACCTTATCAATTTTTTTTTATTTTTTTGAGCACCCTCTGAAAATTATCAAGACATTTTCTTGTATATTTTCACTTATGTGAGTGATTTTCGACTTCATTTTTTGGAAGATTACAACAATCTTTCCAAAATCGATAAAATGAAATATGACAAATTTTGAGATATCAAAAAAAAAATTTTCAAACCGATTTTTTCGAAAATCTTGGTCCAGGACTATCACAAACCGAATTTTTCGAAAATTTTGGTCCAAGAGTATCAATACATTATGCGTTTCGAATCAGTTCGCCGAAATATCTTCTCTAGATTTTTTTCACGACTTCTATAGTTAGATTTCCAAAAATATCAATTTTTCTTTGTGTATCTACCTTATCATTTTTTTATATTTTTTTGAGCACTCTCTGAAAATTATCAAGACATTTTCTTGTATATTTTCACTTATGTGAGTTCGGCTTCATTTTTTGAAAGATTCCAACAATCTTTTCAAAATTGTTAAAATGAAATATGACAAATTTCGAGATATTAAAAAAAATAATTTTCAAACCGATTTTTTGGAGAATCTTGGTCCAGGACTATCAACACATTTTGCCTTTCGAATCAATTCGTCGAAATGGATTTCCCAGGATTTCTATAGTCAATTTTTCAAAAATCCCAATTTTTTATAGGCCTCAAATGTGAATTTTTTGATTTTTTTTTAAAATATCGTCTGAAAATTACCAAGACGTTTTCTTATAAATTTCGACTTGTGTGAGTTATTTTCGGCTTCATTTTTTCAAAAATTTCAGCATTCTTTCCAAAATCGATAAAATGAAATATAACATATTTCAAGATATTTAACAAAAATAATTTTCAAACCGAATTTTTCGAAAATCTTGGTCCAAGAATATCAACATATGCGTTTCGAATCGGTTCGTCGAAATGTCTTCTCCAATTTTTTTTCAGGATTCCTATAGTCAAATTTTCAAAAATATCAATTTTTCTTTACATGTATATCTCCCTTATGAATTTTTTGAGTATTTTTTCAGCATCCTCTGAAAATTATCAAGACATTTTCTTGTAGATTTCGACTTGTGTGAGTAATTTTCCGCTTCATTTTTTCGAAAATTCCAACAATCTTTCCAGAATCGATAAAATGAATTACGACACATTTCAAGATTTTAAAAGAAAATCACTTTTTAACCGAATTTTTCGAAAATCTTTGTCCAGGACTATCAATACATTTTGCCTTTCAAATCAGTTCGTCGAACTGAATTTCCCAAAATTTTTTCAGGATTTCTATAGTCAATTTTTCAACAATGCCAATTTTTTATAGGTCTCAAGTGTGAATTTTTTGAATTTTTTTTAAATATAGTCTGAAAATTACCAAGACATTTTCTTGTAAATTACGACTTGTCTGAGTTATTTTCGGCTTCATTTTCTCAAAAATTTCAAGTCTTTCCAGAATCGATAAAATGAAGTATGACATATTAAAGAAATTTAACAAAAATAATTTTCAAACCGAATTTTTCGAAAATCTTGGTCCATGACAATAAACACATTATACGTTTCCAATCAGTTCGTCGAAATATCTTTCCTAAATTTTTATAAGATTTCCGGTCAGATTTACAAAAATATCAATGTTTCTTTGTATACCTACCCTATGATTTTTTTTTTATATTTTTTAAGCACCCTCTGAAAATTATTAAGATTCTTTCTTGTAGATTTTGACCTATGTAAGTTATTTTCGGGTTCATTTTTTCGAAAATTCCAACAATCTTTCCAAAATCGATAAAATGAAATATGTATGACAAATTTCAAAATATTAAAAAAAAAAATGTTTAAACCGATTTTTCCAAAATCTTGGTCCAGGACTATCAACACATTATGTTTTTCGAATCAGTTCATGGAAGTGTGTTTCCCAGAATTTTTTCAGGATTTCTATAGTCAACTTTTCAACAATCCCAATTTTATTATAGACTCACATGTGTGAATTTTTTAACTTTTTTTTAAGTATCCTCTGAAAACTGCCAAGATATTTTCTTGTAAATTACGACTTGTGTGAGTTATTTTCGGCTTCATTTTCTCAAAAATTTCAAGTCTTTCCAAAATCGATAAAATGAAATATGACATATTAAAGAAATTTAACAAAAATAATTTTCAAACCGAATTTTTCGAAAATCTTCGTCCAAGACTATAAACACATTATACCTTACGTTTCGAATCAGTTCGTCGAAATATCTTTCCAAATTTTTTTTAAGATTTCCAGTCAGATTTCCAAAAATATCAATGTTTCTTTGTATATCTACCCTATGATTTTTTTTTATATTTTTTAAGCACCTTCTGAAAATTATTAGGACACTTTCTTGTAGATTTTGACTTACGTGAGTTATTTCCGGGTTCATTTTTTCGAAAATTCCAACAATCTTTCCAAAATGGATAAAATGAAATATGTATGACAAATTCCAAGATATTAAAAAAAAAATGTTTAAACCGATTTTTCCAAAATCTTGGTCCAGGACTATCAACACATTATGTTTTTCGAATCAGTTCATGGAAGTGTTATTCCCAGAATTTTTTCAGGATTTCTATAGTCAACTTTTCAACAATCACAATTTTATTATAGACTAACATGTGGGAATTTTTTGACTTTTTTTAAGTATCCTCTGAAAACTGCCAAGATATTTTCTTGTAAATTACGACTTGTGTGTGTTATTTTCGGCTTCATTTTCTCAAAAAGTTCAAGTCTTTCCAGAATCGATAAAATGAAATATGACATATTAAAGAAATTTAACAAAAATAATTTTCAAACCGAATTTTTCGAAAATCTTCGTCCAAGACTATAAACACATTATACGTTTCGAATCAGTTCGTCGAAATATCTTTCCTAAATTTTTATAAGATTTCCGGTCAGATTTACAAAAATATCAATATTTCTTTGTATATCTACCCTATGATTCTTTTTTATATTTTTTAAGCACCCTCTGAAAATTATTAAGACTCTTTCTTGTAGATTTTGACCTATGTAAGTTATTTTCGGGTTCATTTTTTCGAAAATTCCAACAATCTTTCCAAAATCGATAAAATGAAATATGTATGACAAATTTCAAAATATTAAAAAAAAAAATGTTTAAACCGATTTTTCCAAAATCTTGGTCCAGGACTATCAACACATTATGTTTTTCGAATCAGTTCATGGAAGTGTATTTCCCAGAATTTTTTCAGGATTTGTATAGTCAACTTTTCAACAATCCCAATTTTATTATAGACTAACATGTGTGAATTTTTTGACTTTTTTTAAGTATCCTCTGAAAACTGCCAAGATATTTTCTTGTAAATTACGACTTGTGTGAGTTATTTTCGGCTTCATTTTCTCAAAAAGTTCAAGTCTTTCCAAAATCGATAAAATGAAATATGACATATTAAAGAAATTTAACAAAAATAATTTTCAAACCGAATTTTTCGAAAATCTTGGTCCAAGACTATAAACACATTATACGTTTCCAATCAGTTCGTCGAAATATCTTTCCTAAATTTTTATAAGATTTCCGGTCAGATTTCCAAAAATATCAATGTTTCTTTGTATATCTACCCTATGATTTTTTTTTTGTATTTTTTAAGCACCCTCTGAAAATTATCAAGACACTTTCTTGTAGATTTTGACTTATGTAAGTTATTTTAGGGTTCATTTTTTCGAAAATTCCAACAATCTTTCCAAAATCGAGAAAATGAAATATATATGACAAATTTCAAGATATTAAAAAAAAATCCATTTTGAAACCGAATTTTTCGAAAATTTTAGTACAGACTATCAACACATTATGTTTTTCGAATCAGTTCGTCGAAATGTATTTGCCACAATTTTTTCAGGATTTCAATAGTCAACTTTTCAACAATCCAAATTTTTTTATATACCCTCCCTGTGAATTGTTTGACTTTTTTTGAGTGCCCTCTGAAAGTTACCAAGACATTTTCTGGTAAATTTCGACTTATGCGCCTGTAAATATAGTGTTGAAATAATGAAATTCAAACTCTAGTGTGTAGTAGAAGACAATTTAACATTTATTGCACAACTCTGCTACTGTATTACTTTGTATTTTTTTTTCGCTTGCACTATATTAAATCGTATTCCTTTTTCACAGCCAATTACGCACTTGCACTCAGTGCTCGCCTACCTGTAGATGGCTTAAACCCATTACACTTCTGATGGAGTTATTAATTAAATTTTTCACAAATTCCCAACAATTACCTTTTATTGCGTAAATTCCGCCCACTTCACCTTTATAGTCAATTAATTCCCTCCTCGACCCATCGAAACAGTTAACATTCGTCCGTAATGAACCCATAAAACTGGTTCACTTATTGAGATGTGACAACAGCGCACATTTAACCATCGAGTAAATAAACTAATTGTCGAATGCCTCTGCGAATAAAGACCACCGAACCACTTTTTCCTCAGCATTGTGCGCATTATTCCGACTAACACATTTCTTCTCGCAGCAATTTGTTTTCTTTTAACAATCCTTCGAAACCGTTCCAACTCTCCGTTTGAAAAAAGTTAATTGAATTACCTGTATCCTGTCGTAGAAAATATTGATAAACACAGTTAGAAAGTTAATTAGTAGTTGGGTCGGATAGAAACTGCGCTTTAATCGACGCAACGATTTGCTCTTGAACCGAACGCGAGAAAAAATCTCGCGAGTTATTGACACCTTTCCAGTAGCAATATCATTCCTCTAAACGCTCAAAAACAGACTATTTCAGTCCCGAACTGAAAAGCTGAAAGGGTGGACGTTAATCTGATTAGCGAGACAGGCTTCAATATTTAATCTTCTTGCAGAACCTGTTGCGTCTGAGAGGAACCCTGAAGTCATGGGAGTCTCCGAGGAGGTCACGCCGAATGCCGGAATCGAGCCGAGGCCTCCAGGGCCGGACAATAGCGATGGAAGCGATCCAGAACCGGACGAGTTCGCGCCCAAGAGGAAGCAGAGGAGGTACAGGACGACCTTTACGAGCTACCAGCTCGAGGAGCTGGAGAAGGCCTTCTCGAGGACGCATTATCCGGACGTGTTCACCAGGTGGGTGCTGGCTCTAATTCAATTTTGAATCAGATTAGATGTTTGCTAAAATTTCACGCCTTCGGCTCGGTGTGAGGGATCGTTAAAAACGCTACAAATGGCAAGTAGGTTTTTATTGTTATTTTTGACGCCTGGGTATGATTTACTCGGCTGTTCGAAAGGTTAATGGTATTTGAAACAAGATGCAGAATTGTCTCTTGAAATTTATAAGTGGGTTATGTAATAGGAATGGCTCTGAAATTAGCGAAAGATTAATATCCTGACAATGTAGGAAGTGTTGAATGATGAAAGTTTAATAAAAGTAAAAACTGCTATAAAGAAATGAAAGTCTAACAACTGCATTCTTCTGGAAACTAAAAATTTGGTAATTTTGAAACTTTTATGAAGAATTAAGCTAGATGAAGTTGCTGAATATTTTTCCGAATTCAAGTGATATCGCATTTTCTCAGGATTCGACAAACGATTTTCATATTTAATGGGACACAACTCCAAAACCATTCAAGATTTTAAAAAAAGTTCCAGGGTCTTCGAAAACACGTTTTGAGCTCGAATTTTTGTTAATTAGGTTTCAGTTAGTGAAAAGACCAATTTTCAGATAGATGAGACATCGTCTAACTGAGATAGCTTGATTTAGTCTACTCGTAAATGCTACAATTTGAAACGAACTATATCGGATTTGCCTGAAATTAAGTTTTAAGACTAATTCTGGACCACAGAAATAATTTTTGCAATCAATTGTCGGATATTCCTCTGATTACAAATAATATCGCGTTTTATCTCAAGATTAGAAAAATGTTTTTCAAATTTAACGGGGCATAACTCCAAAATGGGCCAATACTTCTACTTGCAGTTTACACCATTCGATTCCTTGAAGTTTTTTACTCACATTTGTACATTTTCAGCTCGGGTTCTCGTTCCGGTAAATATTGAGAGACGGATACATCGAACGGTGTCATTTTTCGAAAGAATCTAAAATTCATGATTTCAAAAAAAGTCCAGGGGCCTATGAAGACACTTTTTGAGCACGAATTCTTGTTAAGTAGGTTCGAATTAGTATAGAAACCATTTTCAGAAAGATGAGACCTCATTTAAACGAGATAGTTTGAATTTTGGTCTAAATGCTAAAATTTTCGCAAAATGGTTACGGCGTAAAATAAGGTGTAAAAATGAACTATGTCAGATTTGACTGAAATTAAGTTTTAAGACTAATTCTGGACCACAGAAATCGTTTCTGCAATCAATTGTCGGATATTCCTCTGATTTCAAGTAGTATCGCGTTTTTTCTCAAGATTAGAAAAACGTATTTCGAATTTAACGCGGCATAACTCCAAAATGGACCAATACTTCTACTTGCAGTTTACACCATTCGATTCCTTGAAGTTTCTTACTCAGATTTGCCCATTTTCAGCTCGGGTTCTCGTTCCGGTAAATATTGAGAGACGGATACATCGAACGGTGTCATTTTTCGAAAGAATCGAAAATTCATTATTTCAAAAAAAGTCCAGGGGCCTAAGAAGACACTTTTTGAGCCCGAATTCTTGTTAAGTAGGTTCGAATTAGTGAAGAAACAAATTTTCAGAAAGATAAGACCTCATTTAAACGAGATAGTTTGAATTTTGGTCTAAATGCTAAAATTTTCGCAAAATGCTTACGGCGTAAAACAAGGTGTAAAAATGAACTATGTCGGATTTGACTGAAATTAAGTTTTAAGACTAATTTTGGACCACAGAAATCATTTCTGCAATCAATTGTCGGATATTCCTCTGATTTCAAGTTGTATCGCGTTTTTTCTCAAGATTAGAAAAATGTTTTTCAAATTTAACGGGTCATAACTCCAAAATGGGCCAATACTTCTGCTTGCAGTTTACACCATTCGATTGCTTGAAGTTTTTTACTCACATTTGTACATTTTCAGCTCGGGTTCTCGTTCCGGTAAATATTGAGAGACGGATACATCGAACGGTGTCATTTTTCGAAAGAATCGAAAATTCATTATTTCAAAAAAAGTCCAGGGGCCTAAGAAGACACGTTTTGAGCCCGAATTCTTATTAACTAGGTTCGAATTAGTGAAGAAACAAATTTTCAGAAAGATGAGACCTCATTTAAACGAGATAGTTTGAATTTTGGTCTAAATGCTAAAATTTTCGCAAAATGGTTACGGCGTAAAATAAGGCGTAAAAATGAACTATGTCGGATTTGACTGAAATTAAGTTTTAAGACTAATTCTGGACCACAGAAATCATTTCTGCAATCAATTGTCGGATATTCCTCTGATTTCAAGTAGTATTGGGTTTTTTCTCAAGATTAGAAAAATGTTTTTCAAATTTAACAGGGCATAACTCCAAAATGGGCCAATACTTCTGATTGCAGTTTACACCATTCGATTCCTTGAAGTTTTTGACTCACATTTGTACATTTTCAGATCGGGTTCTCGTTCCGGTAAATATTGAGAGACGGATACATCGAACGGTGTAATTTTTCGAAAGAATCGAAAATTCATGATTTCAAAAAAAGTCTAGAGGCTTAAGAAGACACTTTTTGAGCCCGAATTCTTGTTAAGTAGGTTCGAATTAGTGAAGAAACAAATTTTCAGAAAGATGAGACCTCATTTAAACGAGATAGTTTGAATTTTGGTCTAAATGTTAAAATTTTCGCAAAATGGTTACGGCGTAAAATAAGGTGTAAAAATGAACTATGTCGGATTTGACTGAAATTAAGTTTTAAGACTAATTCTGGACCACAGAAATCATTTCTGCAGTCAATTGTCGGATAATCCTCTGATTTCAAGTAGTATCGCGTTTTTTCTCAAGATTAGAAAAATGTTTTTCAAATTTAACTGGGCATAACTCCAAAATGGGCCAATACTTCTGCTTGCAATTTACACCATTCGATTCCTTGAAGTTTTTTACTCACATTTGTACATTTTCAGCGCGGGTTCTCGTTCTGGTAAATATTGAGAGACGGATACATCGAACGGTGTCATTTTTCGAAAGAATCGAAAATTCATGATTTCAAAAAAAGCCCAAGGACCTAAGAGGACACTTTTTGAGCCCGAATTCTTATTAAGTAGGTTCGAATTAGTGAAGAAATAAATTTTCAGAAAGATGAGACCTCATTTAAACGAGATAGTTTGGATTTTGGTCTAAATGCTAAAATTTTCGCAAAATGGTTACGGCGTAAAATAAGGTGTAAAAATGAACTATGTCGGATTTGACTGAAATTAAGTTTTAGGACTAATTCTGGATCACAGAAATCGTTTCTGCAATCAATTGTCGGATATTCCTCTGATCTCAAGTAATATCGCGGTTTTTTTTATGAATAGAAAAACGTTTTTCAAATTTAACGGGGCATAATTCCAAAATGGGCTAATACTTCTGCTTGCAGTTGACACCATTCGATTCCTTGAAGTATTTTACTCACATTTGTACATTTTCAGCTCAGGTTCTCGTTCCGGTAAATATTGAGAGACGGATACATCGAACGGTGTCATTTTTCGAAAGAATCGAAAATTCATGATTTCAAAAAAAGTCCAGGGGCCTAAGAAGACACTTTTTGAGCCCGAATTCTTGTTAAGTAGGTTCGAATTAGTGAAGAAACAAATTTTCAGAAAGACGAGACCTCATTTAAACGAGATAGTTTGAATTTTGGTCTAAATGCTAAAATTTTCGCAAAATGGTTACGGCGTAAAATAAGGTGTAAAAATGAACTATGTCGGATTTGACTGAAATTAAGTTTTAAGACTAATTCTGGACCACAGAAATCATTTTTGCAATCAATTGTCGGATATTCCTCTGATTTCAAGTAGTATCGCGTTTTTTCTCAAGATTAGAAAAACGTTTTTCAAATTTAATGGGGCATAACTCCAAAATGGGCCAATACTTCTACTTGCAGTTTACACCATTCGATTCCTTGAAGTTTCTTACTCAGATTTGCCCATTTTCAGCTCGGGTTTTCGTTCTGGTAAATATTGAGAGACGGATACATCGAACGGTGTCGTTTTTCGAAAGAATCGAAAATTCATGATTTCAAAAAAAGTCCAGGGGCCTATGAAGACACTTTTTGAGCCCGAATCGAATTAGTGAAGAAACAAATTTTCAGAAAGACTTGACCTTATTTAAACGAGATAGTTTGAATTTTGGTCTAAATGCTAAAATTTTCGCAAAATGATTACGGCGTAAAATAAGGTGTAAAAATGAACTATGTCGGATTTGACTGAAATTAAGTTTTAAGACTAATTCTGAACCACAGAAATCGTTTCTGCAATCAATTGTCGGATATTCCTCTGATTTCAAGTAATATCGCGTTTTCTCTCAAGATTAGAAAAACGTATTTCGAATTTAACGGGGCATAACTCCAAAATGGGCCAATACTTCTACTTGCAGTTTACACCATTCGATTCCTTGAAGATTTTTACTCACATTTGCACATTTTCAGCTCAGGCTCTCGTTCCGGTAAATATTGAGAGACGGATACATCGAACGGTGTCATTTTTCGAAAGAATCGAGAATTCATGATTTCAAAAAAAGTCCAGGGGCTTAAGAAAACACTTTTTGAGCCCGAATTCTTATTAAGTGGGTTAGAATTAGTGAAGAAACAAATTTTCAGAAAGATGAGACCTCATTTAAACGAGATAGTTTGAATTTTGGTCTAAATGCTAAAATTTTCGCAAAATGGTTACGGCGTAAAATAAGGTGTAAAAATGAACCATGTCGGATTTGACTGAAATTAAGTTTTAAGACTAATTCTGGACCACATAAATCATTTCTGCAATCAATTGTCGGATATTCCTCTGATCTCAAGTAATGAATGAAAAAACGTTTTTCAAATTTAACGGGGCATAACTCCAAAATGGGCCAATACTTCTGCTTGCAGTTTACACCATTCGATTCCTTGAAGTTTTTTACTCACATTTGCCCATTTTCAGCTCGGGTTCTCGTTCCGCTAAATATTGAGAGACGGATACATCGAACGGTGTCATTTTTCGAAAGAATCGAAAATTC